CTCACAGGTGCCATCACCATGGGAACCAAGCTGGCCAATGAGAACAAACACTAAGCCACCTCCTCCCAGACAGGCCACAAGCAACATTCAGAGGCCTCCAGGGCCCCTCCTGGATAAACCAATCCCACTGCTCCCCGCCATTAAGGCGGAAAAAGGGGGGTCTTCTGTCTGGAATGCTCAAGAGCAAAGGCCAAGCCCATCATTACCCAGCCTAGAGCTCCAGCCACATGTGGGGTCCAGCCATGCAGCAGTCGTTCAGAAGCCCCTAACAATTGTCTACAGCGCCTTGGGAACACCCCACAGCATTGAGAGCCTCAAGAAGAGCACACAGCACCTCCAGCCAGAGGCATGCAGCATCTCCACCCTGTCGAGCAGTGGCTATGCAGCTGACGAGGAGAGCAGCCGGGCCAGCCTAGTTAACCTCAAGCAAATTGGGAGGCTGACTAAGCAGCTCCCTACCCACGTGGACGGCATCCAGAGCAGTGAGCTCTTCATCACCTCCTCTCCCACCTCCCGCATCGCGTTCAAGATCCAAAGGCTGAACAGTCAAGGCCAGGACACCCAGCAGGCTGGAGGGGAAAAGTGACGCCAGCCTGCCTAGCGGCAAAATCAGCAGCCTGAGCAGCATGAGCTTCCTCAGCGCAGGCAGCAGCTTCCTGTCCTACCAGGTGAGCAGCGGGCTTCTCAGCTCCACCAACATCAAGGCCTCCAGCAAGGCCACCAGTAACCAGACCATCCGGGTGGACTGCAGTGAGCAGGGTGAGCCGAGGAGCAACACAGAGCTCCAGGAAGGCAAGGGCAAGGACCCAGAGGGAAGCAGCAGCCAGCCCACCCAGGCTGAGCAGCCCGCCCAGGAGCCCATACCTTTATGAGGCGACTCCTCAGCTCCTGCTAACATCTGAACACGAGGACCCAACAAGCCCGGATTCACCTGGGATGTTCACTGGCAATATAGGAAAAACCAAAGAAGTAGTTGCTGTGTCTTCTGTAGCAACGACCATCAGCAGACAGGTCACACACACACACAACACCATCTGCTGAGAAATAGGCAATGTGACCATCTATATAGAAAGCTGTTGTAAGGAGAGCTGGAGCAAGAATCAACCATCCATGCTGGGCCATCTGTATCAAAACCACCTATGGGAAGAGCATCCACTACCATGTACCTCAGCACAGGTTATCCACAAGATCCAGCAAAACCATCAGCACCAAGATCGGTAGTGGCAACTGACAACTGTCTTAAGAACCATTAGAAGGTGGAACCTTCCATGATGGACCCATTATAAACGAGGAACACACCTACAACCACCACATGCTCTGAAGAAACAAGCGCCACCTACGCTGGGAGTGGCCCAGGACCACAAGCATCTGGAAGGATGAGGACCCTGCATGGGGATGTAGGACCATGGGGAGCTCAGTCCCTGCTGAACTCTGTAATGTGCTTCCACAGCAGGCATGGCCCACAGAAGCACCAACCTGGGGACACGGCCCATGGAGAATGCCCATGACTCCCGGCAGCCCAGCCCATCTAGGGGACCATCAGGAGCAGCTGGGAGTGCCACCAGCCCAGGCATGGGGTGTCCAGACAGAACTTGTGAGAGGAGATGTCAAAGGACCCATGTCCCCAAAGAGCATCACCCACCCATGGGACTTCCGTGTCCAGTTCTTTCTGGACAGCCGCACCTCAGATCCCATCCAGGAGCAAAGGCTCGGCGCAGTGTTTGTGTTCCTGTGTGGGTCTTAGAAAAGCAAACGTGAGAAGCCAGGGGCAGCCCTTTGTGCAGATGGTTTGGAGCTGTGCACTCCCTACGACAGCACAACATCATCATGGTAACTGCTACGTAGACTCAGAGACCAGCCTGCCAGGAACTGCTGGGGTGGGAACTCCAGGCCACGGATGAACGCTGCCTACGTGGGTAGGAGGCCTGAGGTCCTGGCCGCCTTCCTTCTCAAAACAGTAGAACCCTTTCCAGGGCTAAGTTTGTAGATCCGGGGAACAGGTGGGTGCACAAAGAGGCCAGAGGCGGCAAAACATCCACTAGGCACCATAAGAAAAGTTGAGGGGGCACCAAAGACAATAAACAGTGTCTGGAAAGGCCACGGGGGCTTGGGTCTGTGTGTGTCTTCCTAGGGGACTATGGGGAAAGCAGTCCAAACTCACCAAAGAACCACCTTTGGCTGTGAGTCGGACTGCTGCCACGCCAGTAAAATGCCTGGAGTAAAATACATTTTCCGAGACACGGTTTCCCACAGACTTCAAAGTCTAAGGTCCAAGGCACTGACAGGAGGGGCCACTTGATCATAGATGGCGACCTTTACCCTGTAATGTCACAGGGAGGAAGGGCAAGGACACTGTCTGTGACATTTTTCACCAAGATGCTAATCCCATTCATGAGGGCTTCACCCCTGTGATTCAAAGGCCTCCTGTTATCTCCCAGCACCAGAGGGGTGGGGGATTGCATTTCAACATAGGAGTCAGGAGCTGGAGAGAAGGCTTAGCCGGCAAAGCGCTGTTGTACGAGCACAGAGACCCGAGCTTGATCCCAGAATCCGTGTTTTTAAAAAAAAAAAAGAAAAGAAAAGAAAGAAAAAGAAAAAACCTGCTGAGGTGGTACACACCTGTAATCCTAGTCCTGGGGAGACAGGGACAAGAGGATCCTTGAGGCTTACTGGCCAGCCACTCTGCCTGCCAGCAAACTCCCGATCCAATGAGAGATCTTGAGGAAGATACCCCACATCAACCTCTGGCCCACACACTCATGCAAACCCACATGAACATAACGCCTACACATGTACCACATACACACACATACATATGCACACACACACACATGTGTTGAGGGGGTCACAGAGACTCAGCTGCAGCACTGAGCCCCTGTCTTCTGCATGCCTAGCTCTGAGGGAGGCTTGGTCACCCCTCCCCCCCTTAGAAAGATGAGCACACAGATTGAGATGGAACTGTGGGACGCTACAGCACACTGTATCTCATCATGGAAGCCACAGGCTTCTTAGGCACCAAGACCAAGCCTGGTCCTTTCCTCTAACGACCTTGCGTGTCCCTCACCACAGATGCGTCTGCACACCCAACCGTCCCACAGTCCCTGACACCTCTCCTATCCACCGAGACACCCAGCCCATAGCTTCATCTTCCCCTACACCCGTGAGTCCTTTACACCTGTGGGTCCCCTACACCTGTTCATCAGCATTGCTGGGGAACATTTAAAACTCCAGGTGCCCAGGCTGGGCTGCCCCACTCTGTGGACTGTGAGTCAGTTGTTTTTAAAGTCCTCAGGCAGTGCCATCCTCATGTTGATGGCAAATACCTGTAACAATCAGCTTAGAGACAAGGCTTGTGGAGGCAGCTGGTTCCGGAGTGTCCAGTCTGTGGCCTCTTGGCCCCGCCTCTTTGGGCCTCTGGCAGCACATTATGGGAAAGCATGTGGCAGGGGAGGCCTGTTCACAGCATTGCGGCCAAGAAAGAGAGGAGAAGGAGCTGTGACTCCAGGATCACCCTTTAGGAGGGTCTAGAGGTGCAATGCCTCCTAACAGTGCCTGATGCTGAGCCTTGGGGGGGGGGGGGACACACACTCAAAATCTAAATGACAGCACCAGATGGTGTCTGTGTTCAAGCCAGGACTGGGGAATGTGGCTTCCCTGGATCTCCTTCTTCCCATGCCTGTAACTCTGGAGTCAAAACACACACACACACACACACACACACACACACACACACACACACACACCAGCCAGGGCCAGGGAGGTAACTGGGAGGGAGTGGGGGAGGGGGCCAAAATGAAGAGTGTGCGTCCTCTACAGAGAAGACAGGAGTCTGAAGACAGACTCCTGGGCTTTACATTTTGCTCACAAATTCAAATGAGAGGGAGGGAGGGACCTAAGAAGACACCTTTCTGAAGATCACCCCCCTCCTGGCCACTCCTCACACCATCACCTCCCATCCTGTCCCACCCCTGAGTCACAGCTCCACCCCTGTTGCCTTTGCACATGCTGTTCCCTCTGTCTGCCATAACTTACATGCAGCAAAACCCACCCTGGTTACTGTGCAGCTGTGACCGCTGCAAATGCATGCATCAGTCCCATGGCCCCACCGTAGGAATACCAAGCAGCATTCTGACGGTCTATTATATGCACCAGGTCATGGCTATTCCGTGCAGTAGGAGGTCCCTCTGGGTTTACCCTTCTTGCCCACTGTGAGCCACCCAAAGTCAAGCTCACTGCCTAATGGTGGTGCACAGTGCGTTGGTTCTCTAGCTGGCAGGCCCCCAGACTGCTCCTAGTCTGGAGATTAAACTCTAGGAACATTTGGACACAGGACTTTGTGTCACCAGAGGCCTTACAGTTCACTGCATCAGCCCATCAGCCCAGGGACCAGAGTTTGGGACAATGTGGTGAATGTGTAGCTTTTTTATAAGAAAAATGGCCAGTGAGTGGTGACACTATTACCCAAGGAGGCCGCAGAGGCAGAAGGACTGTGAGTTTGAAGTCAGCCTGGGATATATGTATAGCAAGATTCTGTCTCAAATAAATAAAACTGCCCACGACTTTCCCCACCCAATCCTGCCTCCAAGTCTGAGAAATCCTCCTGTCTCCAAACCCACAGTGTGACAGTGCTAGAGTTGCAGGGTACTAGGATCTAAACTATTTTACTTGCTATGTGTTCTCTCCCCACCTCCTTCTCTCTCCCCTGTCTCTTTCTCTCCCACTCTCCATCTCTGTCCACCTCATTTCCCATTTTCCGAAAGTTGATGTCAATTTGCTCACTGTATTAGAGTTTGGGGGTTTCCTTGACAGCAGATGAGGATAATCTATGCAGTCTACCATTGTTAATCCACTTTACCTATGGGGAGCTGAGACACAGATAAGATGTCTCTGTGTAAGTGGAGGAACTGGGATTTGAACACAGAATCTAGCTCTGGAGTCCATGTTCTTAACCATTAAGCTCTCTACCCTGGCACTCTGCTCTAAAGACATTTGCAGACAATGGTGTCCCTGGCAGCCGGCCACCCACATACAGAGCCTGAGTGTGCTGTTTCTTGGGGACTCTGAACACAGCACCTCTCTCTCCTTCCTGCCTGAGACATGTGGGGTTGCAGCCCGAGAAAGGACTCCCCATGTCTCACACCTCCAACATCCATTTCCATGTCTTCAGCATCACTGAACGGAAGAGGGGCGGAAGATGAAGGACCAAATCTAAAGACGAAAGCTGCACCTTCCCAGGCCTGGAGTGCAGTGTGCCCTCACAGGTGGCTCAGGTGAAATAGTGCTGAATGCACGTGCCTCGGGCCATGCCTTCCTCCCTCACATGTGCCCAACAGATGTGTCTCAGAGGGGCTCCCTCCCACCCCAGCACAGGGACCAGGCAGGCACTTGAAGGGAGGCCTATTTATCAACTAGGTGATTTTTCCTTTCCTGCGCACTATCCCAGCATTGAGGATGTCGGTGGACTGAGAGTAATGGGTGGCTGGGGGTGCTGGTTCCTGAGCTGGGAAGAGAGCTGTTTGCCACTTCTTCCTGGTCAGCAGACTAAGGAGACACTCAGACTCCATGTAGGCATAAAATAGGAAGGTGGTAAAGGCATCCAGCCAGTAGACCTCATAGGCCTGCTTGGCACGGCCTCCCTTCCTAAGTTCACCTTGGCCTCAGCCAGCAGCCTGGATGGTACTTTGCCTTTCTTCCTTGCTGGAGTACCTGTCACTCTGAATTCATGCTCCTCATTGCTCTGCCCACTTCAACTCCTCCTGAGCCAGGAGCTCAGTGCAGGTGGGAGTAGACAGGACAATGTCTCAGCCTGGGTCCTCCAAAAGCTGGCTTGAGCTGGGGACTCTTGTGGGAGCTGTCCAGGCTGTATCCCAAGGAGGCAAGTGAGGAGGGAAGACTGGCGGGGAGGGGAAGAGGACCTGTAACTGGGTCTGGCCTAAGACTGCCTCAGCTCCAACTCACTGGGACTCTGGAGTGAGACCCACTTCATAGAGCCTGCCCAGCTCCAGCCTTTGATATGCAATGCCCTGAGTGTGAGTGTCTGTGGTGTGAATCTGTATACTCCCTCAGGTTCCTGTGTTAAATATTCTGTCCTCGGCGTGAGCTAACATACTAAAGGCTGTGGGGCCTTTTGAAAGTAGGTTCTGGCTGGTAGAAGTTAGTCATTAGGGTAGGCCTTTGAAGGTTATCCACCCCAGAGTTCCAGCTGTGTCCTCTGCTTCCTAATTAACCATGATGTGAACAGCCCACGCCACTCACTCCCATCAGCACAGATGGAGCCACCCTGTTTTGCCTTCCCAAACCATGATGGACCAAATCCTCCACAGCCATGAGCCAAATAAACCTTTCCCCCGGCCAAGTATGGGGTCACAGTAACACAAAAAACAATTACCGATACAAAGGTGAAATGTTCCCCATCCTGTCAAGAGCAACTATCCCAAGAAGGGGTATCTCAAAGCCACCAGCAGCCTTGGCCATACCAAGCCCAAGGGGATGCTGTAGCTCCAAATCCCCAGGAGTCCGTTCCTTCCAGCTCTACGGTCCATCACACTTCAGATGGGACCAGGATGGTGACCATGTGGACAAGCCTAATGAAGGTGAGCTGAGCCCCAGGCATGTAGATGTATCCAACCGTCTTATTAAATAAGAAACACAGAACCAATGCAAAGAAGAAAGCTAAGAGATCAGAGCTAAGTGCCTTACCCACCTGCTGCAGCTAGCCTCTTCAGCCAAGAGACCTCTCCGAAAAAAAGCTACTTCCTGTCTGTTTGTCTTTATATAGTCTTACTGTTCTGCCTTCTCATTGGTGGTAAACCCAACCACATGACTGCCTCATCACTGCCTGTATGTACAGCCCTCCAGGTCTTCTATGGTATTGAGATTAAAGGTGTGTGTCTCCAATGCTGGCTGTATCCTTGACAACACAGAGATCTGCCTAGCTCTGCCTACCAAGTGCTGGGATTAAAGGTGTGCGCCACGAACGCCCAGCTCTGCTATGGCTTGCTATTAGCTCTGACCCTCAGGCAACTTTATTTATTAACATACAAATAAAATCACATTTCAGTACAATTAAAATATCACCATACAGGCATACCAGAACACCACCAGCAGAGCCCAGCCATCGTGCCAACTTGCAGGATTCTGAGCTGCAGAAGATGTGGGTGTGCAACACCATTACAAAGCTGACGCTGATGTGACCGCTTCAGGATAGAATTCTCATCATGACTACCAAAGGTCTGTCCTTCTGACCATTGTGGTCTCAACTCCCTCTCGGTGGAACTTCCTCAGCTGCACACACCCCAGCCCAGGGCTGTTGCAGTACCACTGTTCCTAACTTGGGTAGGGTATGCACTGCTCCCTCTCCCTGGTCACTTCCTATGCTTCCTTCAGAACTCAGCTCGGGTATCTCTGCCCCGCAAAGGTTTCCTCCCCCAGCCTATATCCAACTCGTTTGCCTGTATGTCCTCTCAGAGCTGTGAGTTGACAAATTTGCCTCCCCAGTGAACCTTTAACGCCATGAGGGACTGTGCATGGTCATGGTTGTATCTCCAGAACCTATACTAGCACTGTTCCCAGGAGGTGTGACATTGTGTCCTCAGCACTGATAGCAATGCCTTGCACCCAGCAGGTGCTTAATAAACACTCTGGAATGAACCATCTGGAGCTAAGCATTGAAAAGTCTATCCAATGAGAATTGGTCAAACTGTGATCACTTCTTAATTCTTTTTTATTATTTTTTAAATTTATTTTACATACCAACCAGTTTCCCCTCCCTCCCCTCCTCTTGTTCCCTCCTCCCACCTCCTTTCTACCCCGCCTCCATCCACTCCTCAGAAAGGGTAAGGCTTCCCATGGAAGTCAACAAAGCATGCTATATCAAGTCGAGGCAGGACCAAGCTCCTCCTCGTTACATCAAGGCTGAGCGAGGCATCCCACCATAGGAAATAGGTTCCAAAAAGCCAGTTCTTGCACCAGGGATAGATCCTCATCCCACTGTCGGGGGCCCCTCAAACAGACCAAGCTACACAACTGTCTTACCCATGCAGAGGTCCCAGTCTAGTCCCATGCAGGCTCCACAGTTGTCAGTCCAAAGTTCGTGAGTTCCCACTGGCGTGATTCGGTTGTATCTGTATGTTTCCCCATCATGGTCTTAATGCTCCTTGTTCATAGAATCCCTCTTCCCTCTCTTCCACTGGACTGGTGCTTGGCCATGGCTCTCTGCATCTGTTTCCATCAGTTACTGGATGAAGGCTCTATGATAGTTAGGTTATTCATCCTTTTAAGGTCTGTGAATAATTGTGTTGGAATTTTGATGGGGATTTCATTGAATCTGTAAATTGCTTTTGGTAAGATAGCCATTTTTACGATGTTAATTCTACCTATACGTGAACATGGGAGATCTTTCCATTTTCTGATATCTTCTTCCATTTCTTTCTTCAAAGACTTAAAGTTATTGTCATACATGTCTTTCACTTGTTTGGAGTTACCCCAAGATATTTTATATTATTTGTGGCTATCATAAAGGGTGTTGTTTCTCTGATTTCTTTCTAAGCCCATTTATCTTTTGTATATGGGAGGGCTGCTTTTTTTGTTGTTGTTTTGTTTTGTTTTGTTAATCTTGTATCCAGCCACATTACTGAAGGTATTTATCAGCTGTAGGAGTTCCCTGGTAGAATTTTTGGGGTCATTTATGTACCCTATCATATTGTCTGCAAATAGTGAAAACTTGACTTCTTCCTTTCTAATTTGTATCCACTTGATCTCCTTTTGGTGTCTTATTGCTCTAGCTAGAACTTCGAGTACTATATTGAATGGATATGGAGAAGGTGGACAGTTTTGTCTTGTTCTTGATTTTAGTAGAATCGCTTTGAGTTTCTCTCCATTTAATTTGATGTTGGCTACTGGCTTGCTTTTATTATGTTTAGGTATGTTCCTTGTATCCCTGATCTCTCTGAGACCTTTATCATGAAGGGGTGTTGGATTTTGTTAAAGCTTTTTCAGTATCTAATGAGATGATCATGTGGGGTTTTTTTCTTTCAGTTTGTTTATGTGGTGGATTACATTGACAGATTTTCATATGTTGAACCATCCCTGCATCTCTGGAATGAAGCCTACTTGATCATGGTAGACAACATTTTTATGTGTTCTTGGATTCGGTTTGCCAGTATTTTGTTGAGTATTTTCACATGAATGTTCTTGAAGGAGATTGGTCTGTAATTCTCTTTCTTTGTTGCATCTTTGTGTGGTTTGGGTACCAGAGTAACTGTAGCTTCATAAAAAGATTTTGGCAATGTTCCTTCTGTTTCTATTGTGTGAAACAATTTGAGGAGTATTGGAATTAGCTCTTCTTTGAAATTCTGGTAAAATTCTGCACTGAAACCTTCTGGTCCTGGGCTTTTTGTGGTTGGGAGAATTTTAATGACTGTTTCTATTATCTTAGAGGTCTTAGGTCTATTTAAATTGTTTATCTGGTCTTGATTTAATTTTGGTATGTGGTACCTATCCAGGAAATTGTCCATTTCTTTTACATTTCCCAATTTTGTGGAGAACAGGTTTTTGAAGTATGACCTAATGATTCTCTGGATTTCCTCAATGTCTGTTGTTATGTCCCCCTTTTCATTTCTGATTTTATTAGTTTGGATAATCTCTCTCTGCTTTTAGTTAGTTTGGATAAGGGTTTGTCCACCTTGTTGATTTTCTCAAAGAACCAACTCTTTGTTTCATTGATACTTTGTATTGTTCTTTGTTTCTATTTTATTGATTTCAACTCTCAGATTATTTCCTGTTATCTACTCCTCCTTTTTGTTCTAGAGCTTTCAGTTGTGCTGTTAAGTCACTAGTGAGATTTCTTCATCTTCTTTATGTAGGCAGTTAGTGCTTTGAACTTTCCTCTTAGCACTGCTTTCATAGTGTCACATAAGTTTGGGTATGTTGTACACTCATTTTCATTGAATTTTAGAAAGTCTTTAATTTCTTTATTTCTTCCTTGATTCAGTGGTGGTTCAGTTGATTGTTTTCTTGAAATTGTAGGCTTTCTGCATTTTGTATTGTTGTTGAATTCTAACTTTAAGCCATAACGATCCAATAAGGTACAGGGGGTTATTCCAAATTTTTTATGTCGGTTGAGATTTGCTTTGTGACCAAGCATGTGATCAATTTTAGAGAGGGTTCCATGAGGTGCTGAGAAGAAGGTATACTCTTCTGTGTTTGAGTGAAATGTTCTATAGATGTCTGGTAAGTTCATTAGAGTCATAACATCTGTTATTTCCCTTATTTCTCTGTTAAATTTCTGTCTGGCTGACCTGTCCATTGGTGAGAGTGGGGTGTTGAAGTCTCCCACTATTAGTGTGTGGGGTTTGATGTGTGATTTGAGCTTTAGTAATGTTTCTTTTACAAACGTGGGTGCCCTTGTATTTGGGGCATAAATGTTCAGAATTGAGACTTCATTGATGGATTTTTTTCCTATGATGAATATGAAATGTCCTCCTCCATCTCTTTTTATTAATTTTAATTTGAGGTCTATTTTATTAGATATTAGGGTAGCTACACCAGCTTGTTTCTTAGGTTCATTTGATTGGGAAATCTTTTCCCAACCCTTTACTCTGAGGTAATGTCTGCCTTTATAATTGAGGTGCGTTTCATGTATGCTGCAGAAGGATGGATCCTGTCTCCATCTCCATTTTGTCAGCCTGTGTCTTTTTATAGGTGACTTGAGTCCATTGCTATTAGGAGATTTTTATGACCAGTGATTGTTAATGCCTGTTATTTTTTGGTTTTGTTGTTGGTTCACCCCATTAATTCTTGAAACGCCCACGGTGATCAGAGAGACTGAAGAAGTTAAAAACATCACACACCAGGTCTAGTAGCTGGATAACATCCTCAGGTTGCAAGATGACAGGTTGTAAAGATAGGCTGATGTGGCTCTTCGGACCACATGGTCTACTCAAAGGACCATCAAATCCATCTGTGAAGGCCTGTCTGGAATCCTTTTCTTTCTGGTGAAAATCTTTCACACACAACACAGCAGCCAGTGTAAGCAAAGGGTGCTGAGTCCCAATCCTGGAGTTCACAGCAGCCAGGAAAACAGAGCCTGGGTAGAGAATCTTTAGGCACATAGTCTCAGAACTGCCACACATGAGCTGTGTGCCTGGAAGTATGTGTTCTCTATGAGTGTTACAGCTCTAGAGGGAAAGGTATCCTGACTTATCAGGAAGCCACAATAGGACAGCTCTGGAGGCTGCAGCCACAATAGGGCAGCTCAGCCCTGGAGGGAAATGTATCCTGGCTTGTCCCCAGCCTATACCTACAGCAGCAATAGGACAACTCTGGAGGGCAGAGCCACAGGACAGCTCAGCCCTGGAGGGAGAGGTATCCTGACTTATTGGGGTGTCAGGCCATACCTGAAGCTGGGGTGCAGTGGGGAGTGTTCTCCTTGCAGGATAAAGCAATCTCGCTCCTCTCCTAAAGAGCCCTTACAGCTGAGCTTTGCTCTGTCCACCCCCCACCCCACCCCCACCCCACCCCACCCCCACCCCACCCCAGAAAGAGGGCTTCCCAGCAAAGCTCTGCTGCTGCTCTCCAGCTCAAAATGTTGCTTCTTTCGCTTCACTCTGCTGAAGGGGAAACCCCTGCAGAAATGTAGCAATCTCTTCTGGCCCTAGTGAAAAGGTGTTACTTTTTGTCTGCTCAGCCTCCCTAAGGGAATTTCTCAGCAAGGTTTTTTTCTGCTCAGTCTCCCTAAGGGACGTCTCAGCAAGGTTCTTCTACTCGGCCCCTGAGAATGAAGATCTTCATCCTCTTTTGAGAAGGAGATTTATTTGGGAAGGAGGAGTCCAAGAGAGTGGCTAGGGTAGGAAAGCACAGCCCACAACTGAACAGGCAGAGGGCTTATATAGAGCTTCTTGGGGGTGGAGTTTTCCCAGGGAGAAGATTTTCTGCTCAGGGATTGGTTAGTTTCATTGGTCAGGAGCAGAGACAGCTCTGATTTCAGGGCCAAACTGTGTTTCTTTCACTGGTCCTTTTTTAGCCTTTTGGCTCTAATTGCTGAGCCAGGGTGTATTTCTTTCACTGGCTCTGATTCTAGGAACAAAGTATGTTTCTTTGGCACTGGTTTCAGGGTCAGGGAGTGTTTCTTTGATTCTGGGTTGGGGCTAAAGTGTTTCTTTCATGGCTAGCGTGGGTTTCTTTCACTAGCTCTGGTGGGTTTCTTTAGCTGGCCCCTTTTCCCTACGTTCTCGGCAGGCTTTTTGATCCATACAATGAAGTGGCAGCCCTGCCTCCTACAGTCACTAGACAGAACAGTTTGGACAGAGCCCTTGGTCAGCCAAGGGCAGCCACTGTTACAGTGGAACCCAGCTCAGGGTGATCTCGGAGATACCTCCCAGCATGGCTTGTTCACCTCCACCTCGGAGTCTGCAACCAAGTAGATGGCATGGACATTTCCTAAATGAGGAAGCCAGATCTTGAAGAGGAATGGTGGCATTCAGCCCACCTGACTGAGCCTTGCCAGGCAGTGCGGAGGTGGGGGGGGAGGGATGCTCAGCCCATGCAGACAGCATGGTAAGAGTGAGTCTGCCCTTGGCTGCTTATGGCCCCAGATTCGTGACTAGTGTCCTCCTTCTCATAGGAGATTTCACTGAAGAGCCACACTGCCATCCTCCTGGGGCTGAGACTACAACATACTGGTGTTTCCTTGGCCTGGAGGCCTCAGAGTCCCAAAGCTGGTCTACAGAAAGGACAGGTGGGTAAACAGTGATAACCATGGTATGGTGTCACTCTGAAAAAGCAGGGGCACCCCAGGGAGCGGGACCTTGACCATCCTGGAGCGAGGAAGGGGGAAGACAAGCTGTTTCCACCAGGAATGCACATGGATGGCGATGGACAACTGGCTTCCTCACCTATGTGCATCTCCCCGGGAGGTAGAGAGGGCTGAATTGTTGAACAGTTTAATGTTTGTTTAAAACAACTGAAGCTATATGCCTCCCTTTAGACTCCTCTTCTCCCACACAGCACTCCTTCTACTTTCATGGCATATATATATATATATGTGTGTGTGTGTGTGTGTGTGTGTGTGGTATATATGTGTATTTTATATATATAGCCACTTGACCTGTGGGAATGATCATCTTTGAACAGGACACTAGCACAGGAGGTGGGGTGACCTCTGAAGCCCTCACTTTTTCCTAACACAGAAAACAAAATGATGAAGGAACAGAAAGAAATGTGAGGCTGGTAGACTTGAGAAATGGAGGAAGGCTTGTCTTTGAAAAGAACAGAGTCAGCCATAGATGCAAGAGTGGAAACCAACCTGAGAGTTCTCACCACAAGACAAGGGCTGTGGTGTTCCCTTCCTCCCTAGTGCCGACATCAAACCAATCACCATGGTAACTCTTGCTTAAGCCTCCATTAGCTCCCCATGGCCCTCCATGAAAAGTCCAAATACAAACACTCTAACCCTTGACGCCCTCCCACAACCCAGCCTCTGTCCAGCTCACCACACATGCCACTGCCCTCCATACAGTCTGGGCAGAGGACCTTTCTTTCTTTCTTATGGGGCTCTTTTTTTAACAGTGCTTTTTCTAATGGAAAAGGCCTCCCCTCCCTTTCCCAGCCACCCATATGCTCTGGTTCAGATGTGGTGTGTCCCTGCAGACCTCGTGCTGAAATCTGATGCCAATGACCGGGATGGGAAGGTATCCCTCCCTGTGTAGGGTTAAGACCCTCTCTCTCTCCGAGCCAGGTTCCCATTTGGAACTTTCGTGAGACAGATGCTCTCCACAAGAGCCTACCTTGTCAGCAGAGCCTGCCCACTGGCCCTTCCACCTCTTCCACCAAGTTGTGACCTAGATGCCCTCACCAGAAGCAGAGCAGATCGCAACACCACACTCTTGGACACCCCAGCTTCCAGAAGAAAGAGCCGAACAAACCATTCTTCTCTGTAAGTCACCCAGTCTCGGGCATTCTGTTACAGCAACGGAAAACAGCAAAAACACCATCTCTCCCTGACAGGGTTCAGTTCAGGAGCACCGTCCACCATATATCCTCGCCGGCCACCCCGAGGCTGGAGTCAGAGGCTCTTGCCATGTCTGCTGCTTGCATTCCTCGTCAGTAGAGGCACCCTGAGCTGTAGATGTCCCCTGGCATCGGGACTCTGTCACGGTCACAGAGCAGGCCCGCAGTGAAGGTGCACTAGGGGAAGAAATGTGAACAAGAGTGGAAGAGCTGTCTTACAAAAGCTGTGCAGCCAAGCTGGCCTGGCTGGCTGCTCTGGGTCTCTTCCACCACTTGGGTCTACAGGATTCAGCAGTGCCAAGGTGATGCCAAGCAGGGCTCCTGCTCATGGAGGAGCTGAATTCCTCAAAGGTCATGCAGCAACAAGATCGCATCAAAAACTCCAGCAGAATCCTCCTTTTGCCCCTTCTCCAGAGGGCGGGGCTCCATCTCTATGACGGGTCAGGAAAATACGTGGACAGAGCAGGAAGGACAGACACTGAGGGTTTCTGTTTCTCTAGGCTGCTGTGGGCTCTGGCCACATGAATTATTCACCAGGGAGTCCGCTGGAGGTAGTGTCTTCGTCTTAATTTTCAATTCCCCCAGTGCCGGCCAATTCTCTGCAGAAAACGTCTCAATTATTAATGTTTCTAAAATAATATTTGTTTTCTCTGCACCTAGCAACAAGCAGAGGCCTCACAGCTCAGATCCTGCCTGGAGATCCCCAGAGAGAAGCTGGCAGGGGGTCAGGAGTGTTCCAGGCTGCAGCTACTGCCAGGTCCCTATGGAGCCTACACTGAAACAGGTCTTGAAGGTTTCCCCCGCGAGCTGCGACTCCAGGGACAAATGAAGCCACGACAATAAAAAGCAGGACCGAGCGCCCCACTCCTCCACGCCAAGCATAGCCCTGGGCCTTCATTTGCTTCCTTGCTTCTCACCAGAACCCTGTGGATTATGATTTCTCATTCCCGTTTTACAGCTGAGGAAAATGGGAGTCTGGGGCCCAGCCCCAGGCCATGTCCATAAAGCACAGAGGAGAGAGGGATTTGAGCGCAATTCTATAGGATGCCATGGCACCCAGTAGTGCTACCTGGGATTTTAATTGCAGAGAGAGAGAGAGAGAGAGAGAGAGAGAGAGAGAGAGAGAGAGAGATTGAGATTATTTATTACGGGCACAGATTTGAGTCCCAGAGGCACCCACTAGGGCTTCTGAGTTCACATGTCACATTGCAAATGGTTGCACCAGGGACATGCAGTTCAAAATAGAAATAGAGCTAGTTCATTAAGAAAGGGAATATACCCCCCGAAGAATGGCAAGATCTGGAGCTGAGGGAAAAGCCCACGGAAGCCCTGGGCCATAGTCTGTGATGCTCTACAGTGTGTTGACACGGCACTCACCTCCCTGTGGTGTTTGTACAGCACAGGCTGTTCTAGCACATGCTCTGTGTGCTGTCTGAAGCCCAGGTAGGGAAGGGCTTCCGGTCTTTCTCTATCATGTGGCTTCTTTTGTATGTTTATCTTGATGTCGCTTTCTCTAATTACTAGTCTCTTGCTGTGATACCAAGCATAACATTCTGGAAATACATACACTTGAGTACTCCCAACGAGCAAGGCATTGTTGGAAAGAGAGACAGATGAGACATAACCAGAGATGGGGCGGTGGAATGTCAGGGGCTCCGTTGCGGCCAGGATGGACTGCTTTCCTTCCCTGTGGCATGACCTACGTCTTCCCAGGACTTGTGAGTGGCACGCGTGGGGAGGAGCAACAATCCCTGAAGCAGTGGCGGGTGTCTGTGAGCCTCAGAATAGACAGAGGGCGTGGTGGAAGTTCCAGAACCCAACAGAACAAAAGACCCAGGCTTCTGGACCCAACCAGCCTACAAGCGCAGACAAGCTGAGCTGCCTCTGGCCTGCTCCTTAACCTCTCTGAGCCTCACTTTGCCGTCTCTGAGGAACAAGGTGGCACCCGGCCCCTTCTTCGTTGGGCCACTATGTTGCATGCCTGAGATAAAGCCACGGGGAACCTGGGACATAGTGAGGGACTGACAAACAGCCACTGGCCTTTTCGAGAACAGCTGCTAGAGAACGAGCGGGGTAGAAAGGGAACGAATAAGACCGTTTCCCACGGCCCTTCAGCTGCCGAGAAAGAAATCCACTCATATTAGCTGACACAAGGATGGGAGAAGGTGGAGACGAAGGGGCCCTCCCTGTGGGGACAGAGCAGAGCTGTTAGACCTCGGTGGTACCCAGGCAGCAGCAGGCCAGGGCTGCTTCCTAGAGTGTCTCCACTCTCTCTAGAATTCAGCATCCTATGGCCCTATGAATTCCAGAGTCTGTCTCGCGCCCCTCTCTGCGAACAGCCTTGCCACTTCTCTGTGGAGAGGCGGACACCTCAGGGCTACCAGGACCCTGTGTCCCAATGGAAGCACTCGAAAGCATGAGTTTCCATCAGTCCAAAGTCTGATTGGCCCCGCCCACCATCAGAGACACTCTGAGTCAATAAAACATGCTGGGCAGGCTGTGAGTGCGGACATGGCCGCTCCCCGAATCTAGGGAGAACATCTAGGGAGTCAAGGAGGGCGCCTACAAGGCAGCCTACGGTGCTCACACCCCCTGGTGCCCGGGTCCTCCCACAGTCCCTGTTCTAGATCCAGTCCTGTTGCTGTGACGAATACGTTGACAAAGGGCAACACCGGGAAGGAGAGGGTTTGCTGGGCTTAGAGTTCCAGGTTCCAGCCTATCACAGGGGGATGCGTTAAGGCGGGAACTCAGGCCCTTGCTCGCATCACATCCACAGTGGGGAGCAGAGAAAAGAATGCACCCATGCGGCCCGCTTGCTTTGTACTCAGCCAGGCTTCTCTATTCTTATGTAGTCCAGGACCCCAAACCCAGGAACAGTGCCGTTCACAATTGGTTCAGTCCCCCTATGTCAACCATGAGGACAGTCAATCCCCCCACAGACACGCCCACAGGCCAAGCTAATCTGGACAACTGAAACTCTCTTCCCCGATCACTCTGGGTTGTGTCCAGTTGGCAGTCGAAACTCACCAGCACAGTCCCCATCCTTCTAAGATACCGGCAAGGCTGGGTGACTGACTCAAAGCAACAGACAGGGGCCAAGTGCCGGCTGCCACTTCCAAGATGAGGCTAAGAAAGACTGGTGGCTGGCTGGCTGGCTGGCATTGGCCCCTCGTGCCCTCCTGCTAGACAGATGCTGCCTGCATTGATGTGAGCTTCTTACAACAAGGTCCCTCATGAACCACCATGATGGAGAGAGACTAAGGTCTCCAGTCAACAGTGACTTGAGACAGCCTTGTCCCTATCGTAGCCTCAGGGCACCAGCTTGGCCTCACTAGGAAACTAAGATGACAAGTGCTGCCTTTGGCCAGTAACACACAGCTGCTGCACAGGGGACGGGGGCCGTAGGCACAGCAAGCAGCAGCAGCAGCTCCTTCTCCAAGGAGTGTAGCAAAAGCAAACCTCCCTGGCCAGTACCCAGCTCTCTGTGATTCACTACCAAGCCTTTGACCTCTCTCCAGACCCAAGAGACACTACCACCTATGTGGAAATTAGCAGATCAAATGGGTTCCTAAGGAAGGGCCTTGCATGGGTCACGACCCTTAGCTTTGCAAGGACAGGTCATGTTTAGGAACTGCGTCACTAAAAATGCACTGCAAGGGGCCTGGAAAGATGGCTCAGCAATTAAGAGCACTTGCTGCTCTTGCAGAGAACCTGGGATCAGTTCCCAAGACCTACATGGCAGCTCAGAAACTGTAACATCACTTCCAGGGTATTCAAGACCCTCTTCTGGTCTCCTAGAACCTGGTACCAAAACATACAAGTGGTACACATACATACAAGCAAAACACTCATACACATAGAATATTTTTTAATTGTATTACTAGGCCAGTGAGATGGCTCAGCAGATAAAGGCACTTGTTGCCAAGCTTTATAGCCTGAATCTGATTCTAGGGACATGTGGTAGAAGGAGAGAAGCACCTTCTGCAAGTTGTCCTCTGACCTAGACACACACACACACACACACACACACACACACACACACACACACACAAAACAAGCACGCACACTAAATCAACAAATATATGTCATAAATGTTATTTTTACAATGCATTGCTGAGGCTGGGGATGCAGCTCAGTGATAGCCTTGCCCTGCATTCACAGGTCCTTAGATTCAACCCCCAGCATCACAAAACAGGAGGACAGCTAAGCTGGGCCTGACTGTTCACATCTCTGATCCCAGCAGTAGGGAAGTCAAGGCAAGAGGCTCGTGAATCTGAGGCCAGACTGGGATGCACAGTGAGACCCTGTCTCAAAAAAAAAAAAAATAGACGTGTACATATTTCTGATTATGAAAGAAGTATAATTTAAAACCACAATGTAAATCCAGCAATCCCCTCACCACAATGGCCAAACTGTGGTGACACCATGCCCTCCCAGAATGTCATCTACTGTGGGTGTGAAACAGTGTGCCCACTGCACAGAACCACTCAGTAGCATCTTCCAGAGCCACATACGGCCCTACCCTCTGACCTGGCATAGTTGCACTTTTTCTTCGGAACTGCCAGCCTTCAAATAATGACATGGAGGCTTGCTATTAATTATAAAAGCTCAACCTTAGCTTAGGCTTGTTCCTAACTAGTTCTTATATCTTAAATTAACCCCTATTTCTTAATCTATGTTCACCCACAAGACTGTTACCTCATCTCCGTACTTTCTATCCTGCTTCCTCTGTATCTGGTTGGTGACTCTGCCTTTCTTCTTCCCAATGTTCTCTCTCTGCCTGGAAATCCCACCTATACTCCCCTGCCTAGCTATTGCCCATTCAGCTTTTTATTACACCAATCATAGCAATACATCTTCACACAGTGTACAAATATCCCACAACAACCTGGCAGTTCCACCCCTGGTTATATGCCCAAGAGAAATTAGTGTTTATATCCATCAGAAAGAATATATGGAAATATTCATAGCAGCCACAAACTGAAAACAGCCAAAGATCCCTCAGCACTACAACAGGTAAATAACTTGTGGTATATTCATACAATGGAATATTATGTCACACACACACACACACACCAGAGCCTCTCCTATATCACACTTATCAAGAGAGACTGTCTGAAAAGGGTGTAAACTATCTGACTCTCTTTACACAAAATTCATCTGTGGTGGTGGAAACCACAGAATAACATGTATCTGGAGCATGTGAACTGGGAAAGGCTCAGTGAGGCCTTGGTGCCTGAGAAAGGTTCTATTTCTTGTTCTTAGTGGTTATAGGAAGCAGTAAATTAAGAGTGCAAGATCTGGGCCCTTTCCTGGGGGGGGAGTGAATTTCCATAAGATACACAGAATCAATTATATGACTATCCAACACTACCAACCGCACAGTTACCTGTTGAAATTGGAGGTAAGGCTCAGATGCATGGACTGAGAAGTAGGTGGTAGATAGGTGATTGTGTGAGAGAGAGTGTGTGTGTATGTGTGTGTTTCTGTCTATATGTATGTATGCATTTATGTATGTGTCTGTGTGTCTACGTGTCTGTGTGTCTGTATCTGTGTGTGTCTATGTATGTGTCTGTGTCTCTATGTGTGTGTCTATGTTTGCACATGCACATGAGGAGAGATGGGGAGACAGCAAGGAATAAATTTTAATTGCTCTTAAGAAACTTTCTGGCTGGGCGGTGGTGGCACACACCTTTAATCCCAGCACTCGGGAGGCAGAGCCAGGTGGATCTCTGTGAGTTCAAGGCCAGTCTGGTCTACAGAGTAAGATCCAGGACAGGCACCAAAACTACGCAGAGAAACCCCATCTCGAAAGGAGAGAGAGAGAGAGAGAGAGAGAGAGAGAGAGAGAGAGAGAGAGAGAGAAACTTTCTGGACCTGTGAGTGAAGGTAGAGAACCCAATGGATATGAGCACAGCCAGCAGGAATGACTAATGACCTAGGTAATAAGAAGGTAAGGGTGAAAGCTGAATCAGAAGCAATGCCCACCTATGTTTTTCTAGTACTGGGGTCTAGAACAGTAGCAACACCAGTCCCAGGTAATGAAGCTGTGGCAGCAGATGTGAATTTCATGGTTACAAAGAATCTACAGGTCTCACCTGGACCGGTGCTTCTGCCCACCATCCTAGCTACAAGCACTGAGCTGTCTATTCCCCTCAGCCCAGGCAGCTTCATCTCCCATCCTCCAGACGATGGAGCCTGCCTACAGACGATGGAGCCTGCCTACAGATGATGGAGCCTGCCTACAGATGATGGAGCCTACCTACAGACGATTGATAGAGCCTGTCTCCAGATGATGGAGCCTGCCTATAGATGATGGAGCCTGCCTACAGATGATGGAGCCTGCCTCCTGGCTCCCCTGTCCCTCAGTCTTCAATAGATCTTCATTTTCCCAAAACCCAGTGCCACCACAGAATTGCCTTCCCTGTGCAACAAGCCCTTGTGCAGCATCCATTCTTCTCCCCAGTCACTTCCTTAAATTCACCAGGCACATCCTGCCCCAGCACCTTGTTACTTGTTTCTCCTTCATCCAAGAATGCCTTTCACCCTGTTCTCCTCCAGATTTCCACTGGATCATCACTCCCTCAGGGGCTTTCCCTGGCCACCTGGGAGTTTTAAAGTTTGGGTCTCAGTGCAGTCGGAGGGAGGTGAAGCCCCCACAGAGCCTCACAAGCTTGTCTTCTGCCCTGGGAGTGGCCCCCAGGGCCTCGCACATAAGGCTACAGAGGCTGCATGGTCGTCTGACCTACCTGCTAGCCAAGGATTCATCACATACACATATGCACCCATCCAGAGGACTGCCATCATGCCAGGGTGGGTGCTTTCAAATGCTACATGAGCCAGGATCAGGATCTGGGGAGGTAAATAAAGTATTTACATCAATTTAAAAAAAAAAAAAAAAAAAAAAAAAACAGGACAGGGTTGCCAAAAAGCTCAAGAGTCATGGCAAATATTTCAGTGGGGTATTTTTCTAAGTCAAAATCAATTCAAAGCCTCCATGATGAATTAAAAAGGAAAAAAAAAGCATTTTAAGTAGAGGCAGGGTCAGTAGGTCACACTGGGACAAGCCAGGCCAGAGCACAGAGTGAAGGGAAAATCAAACCTTCCAATCCTGTCTTTATTTAAATTGTCTATGTTTTGTTCGCCCCTGTATTGTATTAATCTTGATTTTAAAAAAGTACTGCATTAAAGGCTGGAGAGACGGCCCAGTTGGTCAATGATGCTGCACAAACATGAGGACCTGACTCTGGATCCCCAAACCCACGTAAACGTCAGAAGCAGTGGCATGAGTGAACAAAACCCCAGTGCTGAGTAGAGAGAAATGGGAATTCTGGGGCTTCGCTGGCCAGCAAGCTTAGCCAATTGGTGAGTTCTAGGTTCAGTGTGAGATCCTGCCTCAAAAAATAGTGGAGATGGCCTGTAAGATGGCTCAGAGGGTGTAGTGTTTGCCAAGCAAGCCGGGAAACCTAGTTCCATCCCCAGAACCCACATAAAGGTGGAAGAAAAAAATCAGCTCCACAAAGTTGTCCTCAACCTCCACACACAGGCCCTGCAAGAGAATGCCTACACACATGCACTCGCACACGCACATGCACACACACACACACACACACACACACACACACACACACACACAC